GCCACATACACTTGAGTAGGTAGAGTCTTTGCATCGAAAACAAGAGGTGTCAGAAATGCATAATTAATTTCTCAGAAACTATCAGAGCTATCGCAAAGAGATATACATATATATACGGTTTATGGAGAATTTTATTTGCTTTCGTTCCCCGTATCTCTTATTACGATTATTCAGTTGCTTCGTAAGATTTACGTGATTAAGTGCAACCACTTTTTTTTAAAGCTGTATAACTGTAAATTGCATATATCTCGAAAAGTTATCCATAGAAAAAAAATGATCTATATTTTCGGAATCACCTAGGAATTCCACATGGGAATTGGATAGTGGCATCCATAGCACCTTTTTGCTGTAAACCAGTGTTATTTCTTCAACTCGTTCGTGTGTATTTCAGAAAAAAATAATTAATTAATTTCAACCTAACAGATTTTAGTTGTAAACAATTTACTTTAAATTTCATTTATGAGCTTCCATTTGACTTCTGGACAGTTTAAACTGAAAATGCTTACATTCCAGCGCTGTGAGTATTTTGTTGTAAGTAAAAAGTGTTTTTTTTCCGGGAGAAGTTATTCCTCCACAGTGACATCACTTTCGTAGAATTCGCAAGATTCGAACCAATTCAGCAATAATAACTTGACGGTGTTTATGCGTTTCGCAAGAGTTCGTCAAGAACAAAAAGAAGTCCTTTGATTGCTTCTTGTGGAGGTAGAGGGTACACAGATACGCCCTGCTGATTCCTTAAGTCAAGAGCCATAACTTACACTCTGAGGCAGAAAAGTGTCCGTTCCTCGCCGATGAATAGAGCCTGGACTGGATAGAGCCTAGAGACTGGTGGAGCTATCACCCAACTATTATGTTCCGACGTTGACTAAAATACGATTTCGTATTAAAACAATATTTATATAAAAATAAATATGAATATATTTCACTTGCATTGACCTAGGGTGGAATCACTGAATTATCTTAGAGATCTCGAGTCACTTTACTATACCAATACTTCTTGAAACTCTTATCTTAGTGACACCTTTATTTTAAATGCAGCATATAATGAATAGAACAAATTTTAAAAATTCCAGAATAATTTTAACTTTACTAGTCATTAATTCACATACAAATATATGATTAATGAACTGTGCTTGAACTTCATCTTCATGTTAAAAATTCATCTGTGGTTCCTTCATTGTCAATGTCAACGCCAATGGTTAAACGAGTGGAATAATAAACATTTTACGCATTCATGTAAATTAAAAACAACAAAGTAAATATTGTGATTAAGTGTGTGGCCTACGGTCATTCATAACCTTCATGTATAAAAAGTATAAAATGAAATGGTTGTTGGTGGTAAAAATATTTGGCAAATAATTAAAAACGAGAATATGTCAAGTCCGGGTAGCATTCTAAGGTTTTAAAGCAATTTGCTTTGCGACAGAACTGTAACAGGAGAGTGGGTTAGTGGTTGTAAACAACCTTTTAGAGAAAAAGAAAGTGTCGAGTGGTTGGCTCTACAGATGGGGACATTATGGTAAGGACTATATTTTCGGAAACCCTTTTTGATCTGACTAAGGGATTACTGAATTTCGATGACTAAGTGCGCGGAAAACAGCGCCGTCTCGCCGTCAACCCTAAAAAGACGGAACTGTTCTTTGCTAAAATAGAGGCGTTCGCCTTCAGCTTCCCGACAGAGTAGATACTTAGGTCTGATCCTGTAAAGGAAGTAAGAGGCAGTGAACTTTTTAAAAGCGGCTAAAAAATTCAGTGTAGGCTTGCAAGGAGATATTCTGACGGGAGATCTCAAACCACATCAAGTTCGGGATTCCGTAATGCTGCAGTATTTTTTTAGTAATCAGTAATCAAAAATGGCACGTTAGTTGAAGAGGTAAAAACATACTTTGAAATCCAAGTGGCTAGCGGGGTACTGAATGCAATGATTGCGCACTCAGTGTTCAGGAAATGTTTGACTTTTCTCTCAATTGCGTCAGGTATTTTCTTATTAGTCCCATTCGCGTTTCGGGCCACAGCGACTTGTGGGCAAGGGCATGGCTACACTTTGATAAACAAAGGTGAAAAACCTGCACTGGGTTGGAAAGTCAATCATGTACCGCCGTGCAACGAAATGTATTTATGTTAGATGGGTGTCAATTTAGTTGAGTTTTGTGGGCACGTGAAGAGGTTGGGTTTGCCATGCGGAGACTCTTAATTTTAATTTTCGGGAATATACTAAGTACTAAAGTAGTCAGAATGAAATTTTTCCAGTGCTGTGGGGGTATCTCGCGGCAGGTAAAGTTTCGTCTTTGTACTTCTAAAATGGCACTAACAGGTCGCGAGTTGGTGTAGGATAATACCCACATCCTGTAAATGACCTATCTATACAGAGTTGGGTCTAGTGGTAGCATTTTGTATTGCTGGATCTCCTCCTCTAGTTTGCAGAGATGCCTTCTGAGGTACTTTGGTGGATGCTCTGCTTCAAGAAAGTGAATCTTGAGCCTCATTATGAAGGTGATATTCCGGCGATGTAAGAAGACATCGCATGGTTGCACGAAATACTGTATTTTGACAAGTCACCCTCTGCGTCCTGCTAGTCCCCGGTGAATACGTGGGCGCTTCAACGTTTCTCAATATTAGTTACAAGTGCTGCCGGCTGGCGAAAAGTGACAAGTTTGCCGAGAAAGAGAGCAGACAGTCGAAGGTGACTCTGAGTATTTTTTTGTTGTTTCCGTCGGAATTTGCTCGCCATTGCATTTCGTAGGGAAGGTAGTTCTTGTAATGAAGAACTGAGATAGTGCGGCAAGATAACCGGATACCTTTGAATACAGGTCATCAATTCCATTTCTTGGGCCCATTATCGAGCAATTGTCAACGTATGAGATGATGGAGACTCGCTCTGGTGTTTGAGGGTGTTCCGAGGTATAGCAATTAAACATAAGCAAGAGGATACCACCTTATGGAATCTCCTGTTTAATTTTCCTCAGTTGTCTTATTTGTAAAGCCTAGTACCAAATATCGAGCACTTAGACAACTCGCTACAACTACAGTTTGGGTACCTGGGGGAGATGAATCGAACATCGTTGACAAATCCAGCCCTAAATATTAGAACTGTTTTCTCACAGAGACGGTTTCGGTTATGGCCGCGGCTTTTATAAGTGATTGCGGTATTAAATGCTGTGGGGGTGCGGTGCACTTTATGTTTGTCCTTGGACACTGACCTTAACCTACTATCTGACACTTGGTTACTTGGTACTCCGTCGGCTAGCATTATAGTCAACATTTATCATTGTTCACTTCACTTTACTTATTGATTGATGGTCTACCACGAACATCTAAAATACCCTTTATGGCTTACAATACTTATGTTCAAAAATAAATGTAAAAGTTTAAGTGACGCAAAAATTTTATTATACATACGTACACACATAAGTATGCGTATTCGTCTGCATGATATAATTTACTTAATGATATGATTTACGCGCACATTTATTGCGAGCTGCGAATTTATTATAATAAATCACTACAAAAATGGCACCGATATGCGAATAAAATACCGTTGAGCACACCAAAGCATGGCTGCACAGTGTTGCCGTTTGGTGGGCAATTCTCCAAATTGGGGGAAATTATAATTTTTATGGATAATGTTTGGCGAACGATATGCTGTGGAGAAATTTGGCGAATTTGCTCTTTAATAACTATCTATCAAAAATTTGAGTTTCATAAATATTTTCAAATTAATTTTTATAGAATTTTCTTATTACATTTTGATTCTTGTACTGTCTTCTGTATTAAATGTTTTTCTAATTAAATAAAATTGGCAACAATACCAGTATAGTATTATTAGAAGTATTGTGTAATAATTACTTTAGCAGCAGCAGTTCGAAGTTACACAAGGCGGCCTTGCATGAACAGCTGAAATATTCGCCGCAATGATTTTCAATGTTAAAATGATGTGTTTTTATGAATTCGCCTTGTGCAGTAGTTTGTAGAAATTATTTTACTTTTATTTACTTTTATTATTGGTTTTATTTTACTTTTATTATCGGTTGGTTCCAAAGCACATTGAATAGGTAACAGCAGCAGATGGTTGCAATTTGCATTTGTTAATTCGAATTAGTAGTAATCGCATTCAAATATTCTCGTGAATACAATAATATTTTCTTTGGTTTTTGTATCTTAATAAGTGCAATAAAAATTGAACTACAGACGAAATTTTAATGACCAAATAATTTTTTTTACAATCAGGGTCCAAATGACTGACTTCGTCTAATAATTTTTTTCTATTCCCTAATAAGCAATTTTTGATTTTATAATGTGTATTTAATATTTTATTCAACACTTAATAAACAAAAGATGCAGGGAATTGTAATAACAAAATGTATTATATAAATATCATAAAGAATAATACAGCTTTGTGAAGGAAACTAAACTGAAAAATATTTATTTCGTTTCTGGGGAATTTGTGGGGAATTCGAAAATTATTGTGGGGATTTGTGGGTAATTTGGTATTTTTTTCTGGGAACTTGAAGAAACTTAAAACGGCAACGCTTTTGCTGCATTACAAAGGTATTATGAACATACATATATATATGTATAGAACCACAGTGCGAGAGAAAAGGCAGACGAGATCTGTAAATTCATATTAACTCCATTAAACGGATGGCTGGCAGGAGTTTGTGCTGCCAGCGAAAAACTGTTACACGTCGCACTTCGTAGAGCAACTGTTGAGCTGACAATGTAGCAAATAATTCATTGTCATGGCTGCAGCAATACCAATATGCGAGCACAGGTGCCGGCATCCATGCACGCACGTACGCACGCACAGGATAATGTGGCTATTTGTCGAGTTATTTGCGGAATTTTTTTTTATGCTCGGGCTTTTACATTTGTAGTGCGTTTGTTATGTTTTTTGATGGAATTTTCACTCTATGTTGATTTCGTTTACCCCGTTTGTCGCTTTATTTTTGTTGGCTTAAGTTACTTAAAATGTCTTATATGCTTTGCTTTTCTACTTGCAGGTGGTATCGCGTCTCGGATTCATCAGCACTATATCCGATTCCATCGTCGCAACGCGTGATATTGTCACGCACGCTGTTGCTCATCAAAAATGCTGACGAGCGTGATGCTGGAAAATGGGTAAGTGGGCGTTATGTTAACTAACGCCTTTGGCATAAGCTGAAGTGTCTGGTATATCTGAAGTGTGTATGTGTGTGTGTGTGAGCGAGTGAATGGCAAATGCGATTGCGTATGCAAGTAATGAAAATTTTTTTTTGGTGGAAAATCAAATATGTTGGCGAAAAATTTGGAAAATATGTATGTACGTATTTGTATGTGTACATAAATTGGAGTGTTTCAGGCTGTATACGAAAAAATCGCCCCCAAGCAAATCATGAAATTGGTTTTTTTTACAGCTCCCATCAAAATATTTGTTCCCTTTTCTAGATCCGTCGCGATTATCTTGCGGAAATTTATTTCGCAACTAGTTTGCTTCAGTGAATAGCCAAAGATGACAGAAGTGTATAAATACACCACGTGGCAAAATTATGAGCGCACCATCTAGTTTAAAATTTTTTATTTATTTAATTAATTTTT